TGTAGGAAAAATCAGTAATTTTATTCAAAATGGGATGTCCACAGTTTAAGCATATTTCATGTACCATCAGAATGCGTGTAGAATGGCAGGTGCCCTGGATAATGGTTTGGTGTTTTGAGTGATCACAATACTGTTTTCAGTAACACCAAACAAGATTATAATGCAGCTTTTCATTACCTTCATAAAACTTTGTACTACAGTTAGTGTCAGGGTTAATTACTAAAGTGAGGATTCATAGTGAATTTCACATTTAAGGTCAAAATAGTCAAACCGGGAAAATCCTCTGTCAGCTATGCTCTTAGTTCAGCTACTCTGGCATTAATTTTGAAATTCATCTTGAACTAATTTTGAATTTTCACTTTACCGAATGGTCCTGCATGTTTACATGGCTACACATCACATTCACGTTTTCAATAGATGCAATGTGTGCATACAGGGAAACACGGTGGATCTGGTAACCAATTGTAATACACCGTTATAATGCCACATCACAATTAACCCCTTTATAACAAATGATTTGCCAAGACTGTCATACTAGAAAAGGATTTCCTGCCCTTTGCCTTCGTAAGGAAAGTTTAAAAAAAAAACGTAACATTCTGCACAGGGTTCCTTAGATTGGGTATAATTAATTTATTCATATTTGATATCACTTTGTTGAGAGACCCTAAGAGGCAAATTTTTGTAGCTGTGAATATTCGTTCTGTGTTACATGTGTTTTGTTAAATAATGATTTAAAAAGATACACTTCTCTCTAAGTACAGCATACAAGGAATAAATAGATCTGAATTAAAAATATACACTCCCCCTCCCTTTGCCACCTCCATGCAGATGACATTCACTCACAGCCTGTGTGAAGGTGTCACCTCCCCGCCTCTCTGCCTTAGCTGACACTCCCTGCTAGGTGAGGGGGGGTTGGTCACTGTGCACAGATAGAAGACAAGAGACTTCTCTCTGATTAAACATTAAGCTGGTTGTCTTAATATAAAAGGGAGGTGGTACAGCAGGTGTTATAGGAGAGGGAGGGATGCACTTTGCACCTTTCAAAGGAACAGCGAAGAAATCCACAGGCAGAATGAAGAAACGCTCAGGTACAGACCACCAAGAATCCGCACACTTGTTTTATCCTTGCAAACTAAATTGTATGCTAGGGAAGCTGCAGGTAGGAGTACATGGAGTTGTTGGGATAGCTGAATTGAGTAACTTTACTGAGAAATTAAGCGGTCCGCTAGGACATAATGTGGAACCCTCTATTTGCATGATCCTATCACTGGCACCCATAACTGTTTATCGCTTCCTATCAACAAACTCAGATTGATCATAGCCCAATTCGTGTCACTTACGTTCAGGAGTGAATGTTTATTTTATTTGTGTGTGTATACTTGCTTATTGGTCTACCTTATATACACCATCAATTTTTGTAATTGCAACTGTCCATGAAACTAAAGGGACACGCAGATTATTTTTGTTGACTCGCTTTTTTTGGTAGTGTTAATATCTGTGTTTATCAGTTGTTCTTGCATATAAATACATTATGTTCTAAAGGATGCGTTGATAGTGTATTAACACTTCCATTTTGGGTTTACTGTCATGAGTTAATCCTGTTGCATTTATTGACAAAGCATGTACATGGCCGAACCAGGATGGTGCAGTTGACAAGAGGGAATGTTGAAAAGCAGGGGTTCCCAATAGGTAAGTGACCCAGATGTTTTTTAGAGCTCCCCTTTCATGATGCGTCGACATTCTAATTCTATAATATTTGAGGTCCTAAGTTTTGGGCATCCGTTTTATAGCTTTGAGGGTTGATCAACTACTAACTAAAAATCATTGTTGATGCCTCTTTACTGTAATACTTTGAGAAATGCATCATCTGCATCTATAGCCCCTTTTTGAGCTATAGCTGAAGTAAAAAAAGTTTTGTGGAACCACAATCTCTGGGTTATACGGAGCGTTCGGTTCAGTGACGAAATATTTCTATAAATATATGTGTACCATTGGCCTATGCTAATTCCTTGTGATTGTACAGACTTTGCTTGTAATTCATTCACTAGGAAGGCATTCCAAGGAATTCAGCCATGATTAATAATAAATTGATATCTGGGCCCAAAATATGCTTTGGAATAGCTTTTGCCCAATCCAAAGTGTATATTGTTTCTTAGAATTAGATTGCTGTTCCTGTGTATATATCTAACTAAACATGTCTTATTGGAAAATATCCAGTAATGCTAATCAAACTCAGTCACTTATTATAAGCTTCTGTGTACTATGTATCACTACTCAGTTCAACCTCAATTGTTGCTAAGTTTTGTGAGGCCCAAAATGCTATAGTATACACCATCAACACAATTAATACTTTCTGAGAATTGTCTTGGCGTTTGACTATTTGGGGTATTTACTAAGTCACAGGGCTTGCTGTTTTAGAATATGATGACCAAGCTGGAAAACATCTGGCCTACAATTTCTATTGCCCTTGTCGGATCTTTATTTAGTGAAATAACCATGAATTTATTGATTGACTGAATGCTATTAATTCTGTGCAGGGTTTGTGCGATTGCCATCTCCCCTCCCTCCTGTTTTTCTCACTACTGGATTT